AATACAAACACTGTGAGTGTAATATATGTCCAAACCAAGTGCACTTTTAAAAGTTTGAAAAAAAAATTGGGCATTGAGTATATGATATTCATTATAATAAAGGTTTTTGTATTTCCCATGAATGAAAAACAAAACGATATTGTTTTTACTGACATTTCGCTATTTAATGTTAATAGCTTTATCAAAGTATTAATAAACCGGAATTTACAAAATTTCAGCATATATGTAACAAAGAGTTAAGAGGTGAGAAATAGACTTAGATAAAGCAATAAGAAGGTCCTGGGTTCAAACCCCTGTGGGTGCGTACTGATGAAGAGTCCCAAACTAGGACGAAACAGCTGTCCAGTACTCCCAGGTTTTCCTGTGGTTCTCTAACTGATGTCAGCTCATGATGAAATCCTCCATGCAATCAAACAAAATCCCTACAAAACCAATACTTGAAAATTAATAAAGAGTTAAGAGGTGAGAAAAATAGACTTAGGTCAAGTTAAAAGGACATACTGAAGGTCGAAATAACAATGAAGACCACTAAACCAAATAATAAAGTCAATCTGAACGAAGAATACTCTTTCCAATAATTTCTCTTCAGGTTCTTTTAATTATAAATATAATATTTGTGGTCGTTACAATAAAGGCCAGTTATGTGGCGGATACACTTTTAACATAGAATAGCAGATAAGTTATGAGGTGTCAAAATAAATAGTCGTATTTGTATGACAAATGTGCTAGGCTGAAATCGATTGGAAAATATTGTAAAACGGGGGGCAACGGTGGTGATTAATCATAATGGATTTGTAGAGTGTGGGGTAGGAAAATTGACAAATCAGTTCAAGGTTATAAAAGGTGTCAGGTGAGTGAGCGGCTAGTACAACGTGGTATGTGTTAAACAGGAGATAGTAAGACTGCAATGAGAGGTTCATAATGAAATAAGGAGTGTGTGAAATGAAACAGGTGGAGACATATATTGAGAAAAAAGATAGTATCACTAATAATAGGTCCGGATAGTATAAATGAAAAATTCGATAGTATTGAGGGAATGTTTGCATGAAGGGGATAAATTATGACGAATAATAATAATTGTAATAATAATATTTGTAATAATAAGCAAAGTAAAAAAACCAAGAGGGTTAAGGGGAAGGAGCACTCTTGGTGAGAAGAGAAATCATCAATCCAAGTTTGGCCACGGTAGGAACAGCGTCTGGACGTGTCCTTTTTGGATACAAAGTTCCGTTTTAGTCGACCTTGTTGCAAAAGCTTCAGCTATGAGCAGGAGACGTAAGTGAACTGTACGTCGTAATGACTTCGGAATTAGGTATATAACCCTGAAAGCTGTGTTGACATCGATACGATGTCCAGTATCGACCAAGTGTGACAGGATCGAGCTTTTTATGGTAAATGTTCTCTAACCCGTAGACGAACCTGTTTCATTTAACATATTCGTTATTTCATTATGAACCTCTCATTGCAGTCTTACTATCTCCTGTTTAACACATACCACGTTGTACTAGCCGCTCACTCACCTGACACCTTTTATAACCTTGAACTGATTTGTCAATTTTCCTACCCCACACTCTACAAATCCATTATGATTAATCACCACCGTTGCCCCCCGTTTTACAATATTTTCCAATCGATTTCAGCCTAGCACATTTGTCATACAAATACGACTATTTATTTTGACACCTCATAACTTATCTGCTATTCTATGTTAAAAGTGTATCCGCCACATAACTGGCCTTTATTGTAACGACCACAAATATTATATTTATAATTAAAAGAACCTGAAGAGAAATTATTGGAAAGAGTATTCTTCGTGCAGTTGGACTTTTAATTCATGATATGGGAATATTTCACACTATCAAATAATAAAGGTAATAATACAACTGCTATGGCATCAAAAACAAAGTTTACTAACTTTGTTCTGACTACACCTTGATTCCACACAGTATTTTTGTGGTACAGGTATGGAACTTTCAGCACGTGATATCGGTAGCCGAAATTTTGCAGGCTGATCATAGATATCGATTGTGTGTCGGCAGGGGAACGAACCCCAGACCATATGCATGGTCGGCGAGAGTCCTAACCACTGTGCCACCGACGCAGTATGGGGTCATTTTCCGTTGTCAAATTGGCCAATTGGTAAAGATAACAAAACCAAGTGTAGATTGTTGGATTTGATAGTTGTGTAAAATTATTAGAACACTGTGTATTTATATAATGATATTGGTTATTACATTTGTGTTGTTTTTGTCACTTCATGGGGGAGGGGGTGTTGCAACCAGGTCAAATTCTGTTTTAGTCCGTCTTTCTTATTCAGACAATTTGGATTCCACTTTACATGAAGTGCTTGTGATATTAGACGTTCTCTGTGATTTCTGAAATTTTTGTAGATTATTTTGAATATTGTCAAAATTAATTTAGTGGCCTGATTCTATAGCATGCAGACATATGGCTGATGACTTTTCAAGCTTTTCTAGTTCAAATGGATTTCTTGGTGTTCGAACAGATACTCTACGGTGTTCAGTTCTTCTGATTTTGATTTCTCAAGATGTTTGTGCGATGTATATGGTATCACATTCCAGGCATTTTATTTTATAGACACAGTTAGATAGAGAATCTTTTGGGATTCGGTGTTTTATTTGGACAAGGTTTTTTCGCACTGTGTCTGATGTTTTGAAGAAAACTCTAATGTCGAGCTGATTGAGTACTCTTCTGATATCGTCTGGTGTTTCTGCTCTATATGGAATGACGACTGTTGAAGTCCATGTTTTCGGAATGCATTTTCCGCCATAATTAATGTCTGTGTTGATTTTGTTGAAGTTCCTTGGGTAGTTGTTTTGCTTGAGAGTTTCAGTAATGTTTGATATTTCTTCTTCTTTTTCTTGCTCATCCGTTATCATAGAGTGTGCTCGTCTAATAAAACTTGAAACAACTGATGGGGTGTGATGATCCGAAGTCTAAATATTTATTAGATTGGGTTTTCTTCCTGAATATAGATATACTAAAATGTCCGTTTTCTCTTCTCTTAACTGGGCAGTCTAGAAATGGTAGTTCATCGACGTCTTATTCTGCTTCCGAAAGGAACTGGATTCTGGAAGATACACAGTTTGTTTTCTCCAGGAATGAATTGTGTAGATCCCGATTTAGTACTAAAAAAGTATCATATACATGTCCTAACCATATTTTAGGATTGAGTATGCATGAAAAGATGCTATTTTCGAATCTATTCATGAAAAGTTCTGCGACTATTGCGGAGACTGGTGAACCCATAGCAACACCATTTATCTGTCTATGTTTAAATGTAAAGTAATTACTTTCTAGGCAGAATTTTAAGCTCTTAATTATATCACTGGTGTCAAGTGGACATCTTTGTGATAGCGTTGTATCTGATTCTAGTAGACTGGAAATGATATCAAGACTTTCGGTAATAGGGATGCTAGTATATAGGGAATTAATATCATAGCTTACCATAATGTCTTCTTTGTCAGTTTCTTGGTGTTCTATTTGGAATTTGAAATCATATCAATTTTTTACAATATTTCGAGTGTTCTTTTTTAGTGGTTGTAACACTGAGAGTAAGTATTTAGAGAGGTGGTATGTCGGTGAGTTGACGAGATCTACTACTGGTCTTAATGGAACTGTGGGTTTATGTATCTTTGGTTTACTGTGGTACCTTGAAGGTACATAAGATTTTGGTTTTAGTTTAAACCAGAAAGAATTTCTAATTTTGGGTTTCATTTATTGAAGGAGCCTAAATGCAACTATATACAAACAGCTGTTTCAACCTAGTTTGGGAATCATCGGTATTACAAACCCAAAACCAGGGTTCGAACCCAGCACCTTCTGGTTACAAAGCAAGCTTGTATACTTTTCAGCCACTGACACCCGATTGAATGGCCCATGAACTCTATCTTTTATCGATTCGTGATTTTATTGATGCCACCAACCAATATCATAGGGAAGTTAAAATTCATGGGCGATTGAATCGGGTGTCAATGGCTGAATGGTTTACGAGCTTGCCTTATAACCAGAAGGTGCTGGTGTCGAACCCTGGTGGTTGGTTTGTACTGCCGATGATTCCTAAGCTAGGGCGAAACAGCTGTCTAGTACTCTCTGGTTTCCAGTGGTTCTCTAACTGATATCAATCCGTGGTTAAACTCGAAAAAGAAATTTAATCCTTACAAAACACTTCTTGAAAATCATAATTATATTTAACAAAGAAATCATAAGACCAATCAGATACTGGTGAAATTCGCCTCCGAAAAACGTGTTACATAATGTAACGTGTTGCCTATAATGGAAGACTAATTGGAAGTTAGAAAAGAGGCAGAAGTAATAAGGCACGACGTAATAATTATAAGAAAATAACTAATTAACATGATTGTGTAGAGTGGATAGGAACTAGTGGAAAGACGATAGAGTGTTTGTATAAAAGCTGTATGAAAAAGCTCTGTTACTGATACAGAGTAATAGAGTGGTAATAAAATATGGATGGTTAGAAGATTAATGGCAATAAAATAGTCATAATAACAAAATAATAGTTAACTCACATAATAAAAAAGAAGCGAAATTATTGTAAGAACGTTACTCTGGCCATGGTAGGGAGAGTGAATGTATGTTGCGCTTTTGAATTCAGAGATTCAGTTTCAGATCCCTAATAGCCAATGATTCAGCTATGTCCAGATGGTGCATTGGAAGTCCTTTCGTACGATATTGAAGAACCCTTTTTAGCACTGTGAAGTATCCATGAGGGAGTGATTGATATCCGTGCATTTCCGCAGCTGACCGAACAGCGTTCATAAAATTTAGATCAAAACTGACTTAAATTCTTATTCAGCTGAATGCTTCTCCAAAATCAATGACTCATGTTATACTGATCATTTAGTTTGGATATTTAAAGAAGCTGATGGGAACTAGTTATGTCTTGTACACGTATCTTGAGCCATTTTTACTTTTATACAGGGAAATAAAACAGTATAAAGTTTAGCATACAAACTTACCGACATGCTGTTTTAATAATTGTCTCCAGTGGTTTACGCCAATGCTGCATATTCGATTTCCTTGAAGAATCCATAACAATGCCGTTATCACTGGCTAAATGTTCTACATCTTCATATTCTGGTAGTAATCTGATATTTTTCACATTGATATGAACACTTATCCCAGATGAAAAGGGCTGAAAATAAAAAATAGTGTGAGAAATATAATCAAACTATTTACAATAGGTTTTGCTGAATTCATGCTGGCATGTTAAAATTGTATGCTAGTCATACCGGGAATGCTGATAATTCCCTTTCGAAAAAGGACTTTGAAGTCATAACTCATAAACGTTTGCAATCAAAGCCCTAAGATGATCAATTAATCAATATTTTACACCTACAGTTGAATATTAAATTTAAAATTTGCAAATATTCACAGTTGACACAGTTACAAGAGATTACATTTCACTACAACTTCCTTTTGAAACCAAAATATTTAGATCTTAGTGTGTAAACTGCTTACTGTCATGGCTAGTAATCATGATAGCATCATATGTACATCGGAAAATCCCCACTAGACAATCTATTTGCAATATGTATACTTATTTGAACGTTTCAGTCGACTTTGTAAGTATTACTCACTTTTCTCCTAGACTGTATATCCTTGTTCTGAAGTTTGCATGTCATATGTTTACTTGGTTCTTATTATTAGTCCCTGTCCATGTTTAATCTGTAATTTTAATGCTGCTCTTTGTTGTTGTTCTATAATGTGTTGGTTTACGATATGATTTTGTTTGAGTGAATCAAAGTGGTTTTTAACCCTGGACTCTTTGAGGGAAGAGTTGGCGTGTGATCCTTGTGGACAGAATTTTTCATTTCACCTTGTTGGGGATACTCTACTTTATTCTAAGGTACTTCTTATGCTTAAATTTTAGTCGACTAATTTTGTTCCACAGTACTTATTTTATACTTTAAAAAATTCTCTAGAATGCATAGCTACTTGAAACCTTCGCTTTGATAATTTTAGGTTGTTAATGTTATTTTAGTTGAAAAGGACCACACAGATCCAATCGCAAATAATCGTCTTTTTGCTGGCTTTGAAGCATATTGTGACCATGTGTCTGTTAAGGAAGTCCTGTCAACTGTGTATTAGGATACAAAGATTGGCTTCCTACGTCCACACAATAAAACGAATCGGTTTTAGTTGTCATATTCATATTTCGTATTTCAAGTCAATATTATGGCACACCAGGTGTTTATAAATTGACACTGAAAATTACAGCCAAATTGCTCATCTCAAAGGTCGAATTCCTACGGAAGCGGTAGTCCCCTAACACTGCATTTAAAGTATAATGTATTACAGCGTCTGTTGTATATTTTGCATCTCCACGACAAAAGTTTATCCTAAACATATGATGTTGGAGAAACTTCACCTAAAGAAGCGAGAAAAGCAATCTCACAAACCTGAGGAGACTATAATGTAAATGTCAAAAGTGACTCAGTTACATTTCACTTAACATTTTGATAGTTTATCATATGTAAACAAGTATAGGTCTTAATTGAAACTTATGAGTTAGTTGTTAGATGTTGTCAGTACTTTAAGTGATATGATACCTTGGTGTACTGTAGTGGTATTACAAATCTTGAAGAACTGCATTTTTTCTCTTGGCAAGAGTTTTCTTGAGTTGATCAGTGACAGCCCTTCTTTATAAAGTAACTCTTGTTTAACTTATCCTTCATAATATTTTTTGTTGACAATAAAATGTTCGGTATCACTTTAACCCTCACCTCAGCGACTCAGATCATCAAGATTTAGAAAAAAAGTTGGGTTCGAATCCCGGTGGGTGGGTACTGGTGAAGAGTCCCAAACTAGGACGAGACAGCTGTCCAGTACTCCCAGGTTTTCCAATGGTTCTCTAACTAATGTCAGCTGATGATGAAATCCTAAAACCAATCAAATTGCTACAAACCATCACTTGAAAATTTTTCAGATTTAACTAAGAATTCACTTTTTGAATAATATCTGAAATTTTGTTTCTTAGGGAGTGATATAGGTCTAAAAAATGTCACGTAGTGCCAGTCTGAAGCTTGTTACCAGAAGCTTACAATGCACATTCAGAAAGCTATTTTCACTCTGTAGAGATTAATTCCCAATGCACAGAATCAAATAAATATTTCAAAATATTCAGGTTGAAAATGAAGCCTTAAGTGTTCATTATGAAATGTTATTCAGTATTAAAATATAATGAGAAGCAGCGATGAGCTATGGAATCTGTTTCTGTATTTTCAGTTATATAAGCAAACAGGCACAATAAAGAACAAGACGACCATCATGGCCAACAAGTTTACATTACTAGACTTCATTTAATCTGATCATTTGATCAGGCTTATAGAATTAGGATTATTATTCATATCCATGGAGCTTCAACAATGCATCTGAACTTTATCCCATGTCCATTGCTTTTCATCTCTTCTGTATCCGGTCTCCTCAATTTCATCCCCTGACTTATGCCCAACTCAGTATTTTTCATTAAAATTTCCGCTCGACACTCTCCTCAGGGTGTGTCAGATCTATCCTAATCTGATTTTCAGTTTCAAACGAAGACAGTTGTAGATAAAAGTTTGCAACCTGTTGGAAATGGTTTTCGGGACGCACAAATCAAATCTCAGAACCACATAGAAGCACTCATTTTACATTAGTGTTTAAAATTCAAATCTTGCTTTTTTTGATGAGTAGATCAGTTTTTCACAGTGATCACATAGTAGTAACTCTCTGTCTAGCTTTTCCGATCCAGTCTGCCTTTGTCTTCCATACCTGTGTCACCTGTAGTTGAAAAGATACTGTCTAGACAAGTGAAAGAACTGATCTCTCTCAAGTTTAACCTGCTGATGGTGATTGGCGCTTAGACGAACCGTTAGATATTTACGGGAATAAATGTAAATTATTAAACCATGCATTAGCTGTCTTACATTCAACTATTTAAGATTAATTTAACCCGTCAAGGTTGTTGGATATCTATCAAACCTGAACTTATTTCATTTGATGGAGCTAAATAATTTTGGATGCCTTGGACACCACAATTCATACTACAGTTGATTTCTCCTAGTTTTTCCACACATTATTTGTGTTGAAATTTATCAGATTTCCTCATGGAATTGACTACTACTGTATTTGTAAACTCAAAATCTTTTTATATGCTGATATTAAACCCTGTGGAAATGATGCATTTCTTATTTATTTTTAAAAACGTCACCTATAAAATTCATTCATCTTATGGAGGTAAATTGATCCACCTTTAGTAACGAATCTGTTTACTCCTCAGTAATCGAGGATAAAATTCCCAAACTGTTGACAACACTTCTGGGAATTCATGTACTTCTTGTCTAAGAATATAAAAACATACTTATACAACTCGACATTTTGTTGATTACTTCTGAGTCTTAAATATATTACACATTCGTAATTTGATTAAATTATTCCTTTTTTACTCTATTTTTAATTATGTTATATCTCAAATGAAAACGGAAAATAAAAATGTAATTTATAAGGAATAAACCAGTTTTTCAAATCGACATTCAATCCCCTAGAAAAACTAGTAGTTTCTATTTCATGCAACTATCACAAGCATCATGTGTTAATTTATTTTCTTTTTTTTATATATTTTATGCGTGTACCTTAAGGGCTTACCTCAAATTTTATTTTTATGTCAAGTAAGTAAGTAAGCTGAATAGACAACCGGTTGAACTAATCCCGCTCGAGTTTTCATTCAGATGTGGCCTGTATGCTTTGAATTGTTTCTACACTGACCATAAATAAGAGTGTGTTGAAATAAAACTGATTACCGCTGGAAACTGACCACCTTGTAACTCCTACTCTGTTATTGTGTGCTACAAGCATACACACTCAGACACAGATCCACCATGTTATTACCAACGATAAAAGAATTCTCCACCCTAGCTGATCTGGTTTTAATTTCATTGTTTAAAAAAGAGAGTTTAATTTGTCTTGAATTTTTTTTTTGTATTCAATAAAACTTTATGACCCTTTGTCATTTTTTTTACTAATAATCAGATGAAAATTATAACATTTTATAGTCTATGAGGGTTGTTTTTTTCCCAGTGTTCACAGAAATACTTAATAAGTATTATTAACAGCAGTGTACAGATTCTATATTTACTTAACAATATATTTCGCAAACTAAAATTGACACGCAGAACTGTGTGTCTGGTGTATAACAAATCGAACTCATAATCTAGTGTATAACTGTCACCAACTTGAAGCATCACTTTTGAGGATCCCTAAAGTATTGGTTTCTGGAGGTTCGGTGGATTTTAAGACTGATTACGAATTGATACCAGCTGGAGGACCAGATGAAAAAAAGGAGTACTGAACGGTCATTTAGTCCTTCTTCGGAACACTTCATCAGTACACGTATGTGACCCTACCATGGATCGAACCCATAATCTTCAGGTTAGAATACGATTACTAACCCGGTGGAGTGGAATCAAATGGCTGGTGAATTCTAAATTCTGACAGTATGTGATAAATATAGCACCACTGTCAATTAGTGTCCTCAGCGAGAATTTCTCCTCACTCTGCTGGTCGCAGTTTTCCCCTTAAACTTCATGCAGCTTCAACCCGTAGTCAGTTTCCACTGGGTTGATTGAATTCTGGGTAACTTTGTTCATGAACTGACATCGATTAAAGAACCGAATTAAATGTGAGTAGTAGTGGGAGGTTTACAAATGTCCACGAGTGTGTAATACTGATCTTATCAGGGGTTGGAAACATGATTTCCAGATTAAGAAGCGAGCATGTAGCCGTTCAACCAGTTTGAGATGAAGCACCTCAACACATGAATTTTAATTTCACTCAAGTATGCGTATATTGTACATTGAAGTTTCTGTGATACATATCCAGAGTGGGATTCGGGTCATTGATTCCAAGGTTACTATGTAAGTGCTTTGCCAAGTAAGTTAAAAAAACCGGCTGCATAACCAACGATGACAACAGAATAACTATCACCATGTCAACAGTTGAGTTCTCTAGATCAGACGACGTTAAGTCATGGTGCCAGCAGTTTGGAGAACGCTTGTCTAAATCCTCCCACTATCCAGATTTCCATTCCATCATCAATCACTATATATTAATAATTGTTTTATTTCACATTTGTGTATCGTAAAGATGTAAAAAGTG